CCAGTACATCCTAAAGGAGATCAGTCCTTGGTGCTCATTGGAAGGATTGATGCTGAAGCTGAAACTCCAATACTTTGGCCACCTCATGTGAAGGGTTGACTCACTGGAAAAGACCTTGACGCTGGGAGAGATTGGCGGCAGGAGGAGAAGGGGACGACAGGGGATGAGATGGTTGGATAGCATGACTGACTCAATGGACATGAGTTTGAGCAAACTCCAGAAGATAGTGAAGGACAGGGAAGCCTGGCATGCTGCAATCCATGGGGTCACAAAGAGTCAGACAAGATTGAGGGACTGAACAACAGGAGGCCCAACAAGAAAAATCAATGATTGTATTTCCATTTTAATATAAACATTTAGTGTCCAACCCTCCACTTCACCATCTCATTAGCATTTGAATGCAAACCCTCATTGCAGGTAGTTATTTCAAAACCTTTTTAAATTTTCAGGCAGAGAAAGCAAATAGGGCAAACTAGAGACCCTAGCTGACAGGTAATCAAATACTATAATCATGACAAGGGTGGGGGACAGACTGTAGGAAATGGGAAAATATCAACTTCAAATTCATCTCTGCCTCCAGGGAGCTACTCTGGTGCTTATTTGGATTTTCAGAGAATCTTTGAGCTTTTGTTTTACAAATATAGCACCTCCAAAACATAACAATAAATAAAGTGGATTTTATGATGGTCAGTTTAAGCCCTAAATGGCCAAAATTTCCTTTTCTCCTGTTGAGGAGTCACCACCTCTGAGGACACTAGAGAAGACTCCTTGGCTAAAACCTCCAGTCAGAAAGAAAAGTGCTATTTGAAGCCCAGTGCCCTCCCCACCTGGTGACCTTGTGTCCCGCCTCCAAAGTCACAGAAAGCAGCCTGTACTCTTCCTGAAAAATGTTTAGCCGGTCTGCATATCCATCCACCCAGCACGCCAGGTGTGATTGAGACAATTTAGGCTGAGTGCAAAGTGCTCCATTTCAGGCTGAAATCACGCCAAAGACTCCTTACAAAAGCTACATTCAGCATCTCCAATTCCACATTCCATCCCGTGCATTGTCTGACATTATTACCCAGGATTCCAAAAGCACTTGGCCGTGTTAAATAAGAGTCGGGAAGGAAAACTATAGCAAGGGACTGCTGGAGGAGGCAAAGCTGGAATAATGAAGAGGGTCACAGCCAGAGATGTCAGCTGAGCTCTGAAAATAGACGCGGCTTAATGAGCAGGAAGGAGGTTGGATTTCTCCAAAAAGGCAGATTCAACCAGGTAAGAACTAGATCATCACGCTCCACGGATAGGGTGCGCCTTGGTTCATCACCTTTGGAGAGTTGTTTGGCAGGACTCATTAAAACTAAAAAATGCATGTGCTCTAGGATCCAGACATCTCTCTTCCTGGCAACTCTCCTAGAGGAAAATGCAGATACATAGATGCAACACGCACAAGCAGGGATACACAACGATTTTCAATACCGAGTTGCTTGTAAGGGCCAAAAGGCAAGAGATGATCTAACATCTGTCTACAGGGGAAGTCACACTGTGGAATACTATGCAGCAGCAAAAGGATTATGCCCTAAGTGAGATAATAATATCCACACATACCTGTCCAGAGCTCCCAGATGTTCCAGAAACTCTCCTAAGTGCCTCCCACACATTGAACCATATTACAGTTCTCCCACAGGTTCTGTAGTTATGATTGCAGAGCAACTCTGGCACCAAGATGTGAAATGACCTGTTCCTGAATGAAAGTCTGTGTGCGCAAAGCACAGTGAGGCCAAATGATCCCAGAATGTCAGAGTTAGGAGCAGAAAAAGGTTTAGTGCAGGGCCACACAAGAACAGGGGCTCATGCCTTAACCGATAACTACTGGAAAGCTTTCATCTAAGACCTTTTATAGGAAAGGTGAGAGAGGGGTGTGGTTAATTGTTGCAAGCTTCTTGATGTCAGATGCTTTGTTCTGTAGTCAGATCACCTCAGACAACAATGTTCTAAAAACCTCCACCAAAACAAACGTTACTCTGTTCTGAGGAGAGCTACTACAGTCCCAAGGCTCTGAGGTCCAGGTGCCCGCTAAGAGGAGGGGTTCCTGCACAGGGTAGATTACCCTGCCCGGGTCCCCCCATCAGTGTCCAGCTCCAGCTGAGGAGGCAGGTCTCCAGACCCTGCTCAGCCGCCATCATCGGGAGACCCTGCAGCAGGCTCGCAGGCTCCTCAAGTCGCCCAAATAGGGGATCTGTCGCTCGGACTGCAACTCCTTGGAGACCTCTACTGCCACTAGATCGTGGAAGTGGGGATGAGGGAGGGATTCACGGCCGCTCTGAAGCTTGGGTCTGGCCAGTGGGCAGTTGCAGCAAGGGTTCTGGAACTCTGTGGAACGCAGCCGTTGGCCTGTTCCCGGGCCCTCAGCTCACCTGCTGTCCGAGGCCGGAAGTCCTGGGGGAGACGGCCCCAATCCACCTCTCACCACGCTCTGTGCCGTGAGGATCACTGCCAGGTTGGGAGCTTGGCCACTAAGAGTAACTAACGGCTAACAGTAGAGCGTTGAGGGCTTCACGCTAAAGGTCCAGCTGACGGTTTAGGTTGCCGTAACCGTCGCCAGCTAACGGCTGTATGCTGGCCCCGCCCCTACTGGCCCCGCCCCTATTTTTACACCTGCGAGGATCTGAAAAGAAAGTGAAGTCGCTCAGTCGTGTCCGACTCTTTGCGACCCCATGGACTGTAGCCTACCAGGTTCCTCCGTCCATGGAATTTCCAGGCAAGAATACTGGAGTGGGTTGCCATTTCTTTCTCCAAGGGTAACTAGCGGTTAACAGTCGAGAGCTGAGGGCTTCACACTAAGGGTCGAGCTAACGGTTTTGGTTTTGGTTGCCAGAATGGTCGCTAGCTAAAGGCTGCGTGTTGGCCCCGCCCCTACTGGCCCCGCCCCTTTCCGGCCCCGCCCCTATTTTTACACCCCCAAGGATCTTAACCGAGCTTAAATGAGAGAGAAGGGCAGAAGAGTATACACTGAACCAATGATAGCTGACTTCTCTGCATACTGTGACCCCATTGTAGAGACCAGAGACCATACTCAAGCTTAATCTTATGGGCCTATTTGGAAGTCTGGCTAATTAATGGCTGTAAAAGCAGTTTGGACTTTGCAAGCCTTTTATAACATGCCTCATTTAGACATAATGGGCTCAAGATTGCCTCTGGCATCTTCAAGAAAATTAAAAATCCAGTAGGCAGTGGAATTGTCTCAACGTGATTTTCCTATTAGTTTTATTTTTATTATGATTGCAAATAGCGGCATTACTAATGGTACCTTGGGCCAGGAAGCTTTTCCCGGGAAGGTTTTGCCATTTTCCCACGTCCATAGCCTTATTTATTGGTCTTTTAGCCAGCACTGTGCTGGCTCAGTCCTCAGGATATTTAACACTCACCAAATGGAGGAGAGTTAGAGGGCTCCTGAACACGTGAACCACTACATAGGGAGACACCGTTTGTTACCCTCCAGCTTGACAATACAGGTCCTAATTGATATGTGTCTAATCCTTGGCTCCAGATAAGCAGGTGTCTGGCATGTGTGGGCTGGAAAAGATTTGGTGTTCTGGAAGTCTAGGACAGCATGTGGTGCAGAAAGATGGCAGCATATAAACTGAGTAGAGGAGGCATGACTAATAATAAAGACAAAAAATAACTCTATCCATCCATTATTTGAATAATCATCATAATACCACTACCAAGTTAACAGAAAAAAAAAAAATCGCAGTAATACCAAGAAGTTCCTAGGGTCCGGTGATTAAGAATCCACCTACCAATGAAGGGGACGTGGGTTCAATCCCTGGTCCAGGAAGATCCCACATGCCACAGAGGAACTAATTTCGTGCACCACAACTAGTGAGCCCATGTGCCTAGAGCTTGTGCTCCGCAACAAGAGAAGCCATGGCAATGAGACGCCTGTGCACGGCAACGAGAGAAAGCCCACGAGCAGCAATGAAGACCTAGCACAGCCAAAAAGAAAATAAATAAATTTCAAAAAAAAAAAGAAGTTTCTGGCATCTCCAATGAGGTGAAAGGATCATGATCAGGGATGATATGGCCAGAAATGAAATCCAATCTCTACCATATCAGCACAGACCCCCTGCCAATGCAGCTCCTAAAAAGTTGGGTGGGTCTGCCACCATGATCATTCAAACACCGAGTCCACTCATATCTCTGTACCAGCATTGCTCATCTTCAAACTGAATTTCTGCATCAGTTCAGTTCAGTTCAGTCGCTCAGTCATGTCTGACTCTTTGCAACCCCATGAATCACAGCACGCCAGGCCTCCCTGTCCATCACCAACTCCGGGAGTTTACTCAAACTCATGCCCATTGAGTCGGTGATGCCATCCAGCCATCTCATCCTCTGTCATCCCATTCTCCTCCTGCCCCCAATCCCTCCCAGCATCAGGGTCTTTTCCAATGAGTCAACTCTTCGCATGAGGTGGCCAAAGTATTGGAGTTTCAGCTTCAGCATCAGTCCTTCCAATGAACACCCAGGACTGATCTCCTTTAGGATGGATGAATCAAATTGGTGGGACTAAGTCAGAGGCAGGCCAAGGGCAGTTAAGAGTGATCTGCCCGCAAAGAATAAGAGAGTGCATGGTTAAAAGAGAATTTAAAAGCAATATAAGACTGACTACAATCACCCAACTTTATCTTTTTACCATGAGTCAGTAATTCTAAACAATGTCAGAGATATAATACATCTCTGGGTGGGGCATCCTTCCTCCTTACAGGCCACGAGATTAGTGTACATTTTTGTGCCTCTGGTACCAAAGAGGGATGCATCTGTCGATAGGGATAACAATAGAACCTACCTCATAGAGTTGTGGGAAAAAAATCAATATTATAAAAACATCATTTCTCATCAAATTGATCTAGAGACAGTAATCCTAATAAAAATTCCAGCAAGTTTTTGTTTTGGTGGAAATTTACAAGGCAATTCTAAAATATATGTGGAAAATCAAAGAGCCAAAATTATCACAAAGAAGAACAAAGTCGGATGATTTTCACTACTGGAGATCAGGAGTTATTATAAAGCCAGAGAAATTAAGGGAGCATGCTTTGATACAAGAAAAATAAATAGACCATTGAAACAGCACTGAGTGCTCAGAAACAAATCCACACAGGTATGGACACCTGATTATAAAAGAGATGCCACAGGAGAGCAAAGCGGAAACTACGGCTTTTTCAATAAATAGTGCTGGGTCAACTGGCCATCCATATAGCAAAATCTGAATCTTGATCTCTAAGTCATACTATACATAAAAATCAATTCCAGGTGGATTGTAAATCTGAATGTGAAAGGGAAAAAAAGATAAAGTTTCTAAAAGATAATACAGGAGCATGTCTTGAACTTGAAATACACAAAGATGTCCTAAACAAGACAAAGGAACCAGGAAGGGTGAATCCCCACCATACAATTGATTCAGAATAAGAAGGAATCCACACATCAAATTCCTTACAAGTCCCATTGCTTAGTTTAAAGTTTCACTGCCATAGAACCTTTCAAAATCTCAGAATGTTCAGGCTAGAGCATCCCGAAGGAGGAAGGAACTCCCCATGTGCTTTTCTCAGGAAACCTCTCTGTCTAGGCTGCTTTTACAGAGGCAGAGACTCTGATGTCATGTATAGTGATTGTTTACTATGTGCCAGGCACTGTGTAAAGCACTTTGCAATCATTTTCTTATTTATCTGTATTTCAGCCAGTAGTTGATGCCTGCCAGTTGGTGACCATGGAAACCACAATGCCAGAAAATCTATCTTCCAATCTCTCTCCACTACCTCATCCTTTAACAACTGAAGTTTCTAACTTATAAAATTAAGACTCCAAGAATCAACCATGAAATTGAAGTTTAAATGAGTGCCTCTTGTTTGTTTTGTTCAATTTACAGTAAACCTGAACATCAAGTTGATGATTTAAACTTTTAAAAATACGTCCCTATGCCTTTCTTTATAGACTGTCTATGAGATAGCTATAGCAGGCATTGTCATTTCCACTTTCCAAATGGGTAAACTGAGGCACACAAAAAACACCCATGAAGTCTGAAACCAGGACTTCCCTGGTGGTCCAGTGGTTAAGCATCTGTCTGCCAATTCAGGGGACATGAGTTCAATCCCTGGTTTGGAAGGATTCCACATGCCTTGGGGCACCTAAGCCCATATGCCACAACTACTGAACCAGCACACTCTAGAGCCCATGTGCTGCAATGAGAGAAGCCCTCACACCACAACTAGAGAGTAGCTGCTGCTTGACACAGCTGGAGAAAGCCTCTGCACAGCAAAGAAGACTCAGCATGGCCAAAAAGAAATAATTACTTAAGCTTAAAAAATTTGAAAGATCTAGAACCAGTGCTAAATATTTCAAGTCATATCCAACATTAATGGAAAAGTTGGCTAGTCAGTTTGGCAGAGGCATGCACAAGTGAAGAATGGGATTGTTATTTGTAATTGTCTCCTCACAGGTGAGTGACTACAGAGGGTGAGGCAGGAACGTACTTGGTCTTCATTTCTTAGCCTTATTCAGAACCCCCTCACCTTGTCCATACACTGGTTCTCATGCCTCCAGCTTTCCCTGATTCCACACACCTCACAGCAACACTTTCAGATCTATCTTTCTACAACAGGGTTCTGATATGTTACTTCCATGCCCCCGAACCATCAACAGTTCCTCCTTACTTTGTTAAAATATAGGATTTGTAATCAAACATCAATCAGAATAACCTTGGGTTCACTGAGTGGTTTTGGTCTACTGACTTAACTTCTCTGAGTCTCAATTTTTTTGGTCTGTAAAAGGGGTAAGACTAGGGTTGATGTGAAGGTAAAATGGACATTTTAAGTAGAATGGCTGACTGCACTGATGTGCTGGTTTTAAAAGATAGAATGAAACACTTGATTCAGTTAATGAAAAAAACCTTTCCTTTTTCTTTTTACTATTTATACCTTGCTGCACACCATGTTCTGTGCTCACACTTTTCATGCAGGCTATTATCAAATCTCCACAACTACCCCTGAGGTAGGAATTACTATTTTTGCATTTTATATATGCAAGAAAACTGAAACTCAGAGATGTCACCCAGCTGGTAAATGGTAGAGTTTAGTTTTAAATTCAGATCTCACTGAGTTCAAAACTTATACCCTTTACCTACATCAAAGTCACCTAGGGGCAGGGCTCTCAAAAATGCAGATCTCTGTTCCCCAGTCCAGAATGCTAGACTACCAACAGAATCCATTCTTCCCTTTTTTAGTGTCTAAGAATATGGCTGCATAGCTAGAAGACTGTATTTCCTCATAATTTTTGCAATTAGATGCAGTCATATGACAAGTTTGCACCAATGGAATGTAAGCAGAAGTCACAGGTACCAGTTCCAAGCCAAGATGAGTAAGATATAGATGCAGCTTCTCCATCTTCTTCCATTGACTGGAAGCTGGACATGGCAGGAACTCAGTCCTGGCTGAGCAGATGACGACAAGTTTATAGAAAGCAGAAGGGCATCATGATGAAAGGATCTCTGGACCCCTCTGGCCTATGGGGTTTGGTTATCAACAGCTGTACAGCAAACCACCCTAAACTGGCACAGTGTTACTTCCACAACATTCTGTTGGTCACAGAGCAGTCATAGGGCCTTCCCAGATTCAAAGGAGGGCACATCAACCTCATTTCTCCATGAGAACAGGATCAAATAATTTGTGTCCATCCTTAATCTGCCACTTCTCTTGAAGATATACACCAATAAGCACATTCACCTTGAATTGCAATATGTGCGTGAGAGAAATACATTCTTTGTTCCCTAAGCCATGTTGTTTTTTGGCCTCTAAAGAACTTAGCTTTCTGCCATAACAGATACTCTTAGTGAATTAAAACAGGGGGTGGGGGTAAAGAATCTGCATTCTGAGAAGCAACCTAAACAGCTTAATGCACACTTGAATTTAAGAGTCACTCTGCTAAGCCAGCTGGCTACTCCATCCGTGTCTGACCTCTCAGCAACTCTGAGATAGTTAAGGCCTTTTATCCAATTGTTCAAGGGGTTCACATCTTAGAACAGATAGCATCTCCACAAAATTGTTCTAAAGATCCATGACTTTGCTAAATCCCACTTGGAGATACTCAGAGGGGACTTGGAGTTCATCCAGTGAAAGTCTCACTGGTCCAGGAGCTCTTAATACTCTAGGCCACAGGATCAAAGCTATAGTTTTTCCAGTAGTCATTTTTGGAGGTGAGAGTTGGACCATAAAGTCTAAGCATTGAAAAACTGATGCTATCGAATTGTGGTGCTAGATAAAACTCTTGAGCATCCCTTGGACTGCAAAATCAAACCTGTCAATCCTAAAGGAAATCAACCCTGATTATTCTTTGGAAGGACTGATGCTGAAGCTGAAGCTCCAGTAGTTTAGCCACCTAATGTGAAGAGCCAACTCACTGGAAAAGACCCTGATGCTGGGAAAGATTGAGAACAGGAGGATAAGGGGGCAACAGAGGATGAGATGGTTGGATGGCATCACCGACTCAATGGACATGAGTTTGAGCAAACTCCAGGATATAGTGAAGGAAAGGAAAACTTGGCATGCTGCAGTCCATGTGGTCACAAAGAATCTGACACAACTCAGCAACTGAACAACAAAAACAGGATGCTCACTTCAGTGGCAAAAATACAGAATTCCAGGTAAAAGAAAGCATATCTAAAATGCAACTCCTAAAGGCAATCAAATAAAAGAATTGAACTATTTCAGAGGCATCAAGAAGTCAGAAACTAGGGGTGTAGCTGTGTTACTTAGCTGAGTGGATACTGAATACAACAGACATGACATCAACTAACAGTGAATGACTTTGTGGGTTTCACACATGTTATATAATGGGGGAGCCAGGCTCCTATAGTAGTATATTAAAACTCTCTAAGCAAGAAAGTTGCAGGAAAGAGGACTTCCCTGGCAGTCAGTGGTTGAGACTCCAAGCTTCCACTGCAGGGGGTGCGGGTTTGATCCCTGGATTGCAAGGAGATCCAACCAGTCCATCCTAAAGGAGATCAGTCCTGGGTGTTCATTGGAAGGACTGATGCTGAAGCTGAAACTCCAATATTTTGGCCACCTCATTGAGCGAAGAGTTGACTCATTGGAAAAGACCCTGATGCTGGGAGGGATTGGGGGCAGGAGGAGAAGGGGACGACAGAGGATGAGATGGCTGGATGGCATCACTGACTCGATGGGCATGAGTTTGAGTAAACTCCTGGAGTTGGTGATGGACAGGGAAGCCTGGCGTGCTGCGATTCATGGGGTTGCAAAGAATCGGATATGACTGAGCAACTGAACTTAACTGAACTGACTGGGGAACTAAGATCACACATGCCCCACAGTGTGGCAAAAAAAAGAAAGAAAGAAAAGAAAATTTCAGGAAAACACAGTAGTATTTAAAGCAATTGGTGAAGACATCTGACCAAAAAAAAAAAAAAAGGACAGTTTTTAGACAAACATCTGGCTACTCAAGACTCTTAGCAGCTGGAGGGTCTCATAGAATCAGGTGTCTAATTTAAAAGCCTTATTCTTTTCTTAGCTCACTTCTACTTCTGTGTAAATATTAAGCCTCCTTGTGGTTAATATTGGGTCCCTGTAGACTTAAGCTGGTATTCTTCCTCAACAGAGATGATAATACCAGCCCCAGGAAGTTGTTGCAAAGATTAAATAAGGTAATAGAGATATTCATGCAATGAAAACTCATACAAAGAGGATCCATAGAACATGCAGTACAATGTTCAGAACAATGTGGCTGCACAGTAAATTTAAGTCTTCCTTATTTCCTTTCCATTTTTAGGAAATAAATTCTAAATCAGGAATGGCAGCTGTTATAGACTGAATTTTTATAGTATCCCAAAATTCATATGTTGAAATTCCTACCCCCAAGGTGGTGGTATTGAGAGGTGAGATTTTAGGGGATGTGATTAGGTTATACACTGGAGAAGGAAATGGCAACCTGCTCCAGTATTTTTGCTTGGATAATTCCATGGACAGAGGAGCCTGACAGGCTACAGTCCATGGGGTCACAAAGATTAGGTTATAAGGGTGGGAGTCCTCATGAATGGGATCAATGCCCTTACAAAAGAGACCCCAGAGAGCTCCCTCACCTCTTCTACCATGTGAAGACATAGTGAGAAGTCAGCTGTCTATAAACCAAGAAGTGGGTCTCACTAACACCAAATTGGTCAGTGCCTTGATTGTGGACTTCCCACCCTCTAGAACAGTGAGGAATAAATGTTTCTTAAACCACCCAGTCTGCAGTAATTTTGTTACACCAGCCCAAAAGGACAAAGACAGCAGCACACAGATATTTGATCTGTTGTACATAATGATCTTTTTCTTAAAAAAAAATTGTAAATTAGGTTCCAACATAAAAATTAGAAGGGCTCATATGAAAATCCAGATTTTCTCCGAAAAGACAGAAACTCTAGAAACACAGTTCAATCTGACCCCTACAGGCATGAGTGTGAGAGTCTAGGACCTAATAATGTTCTCTCTTGTCAACTTTTGCCCCCTCAGGCTACTTTCCTGGACTCTGTCTTCTCAGTTTGGGGTGCACAGGGAAAGAATGTTAAAAGCTCTGATACTGGGCTTCCCTGTTGGCTGGGTGGTAAAGAATCTATCTGCCGATGCAGGATCCATGCAGGATCCATACACCACATGCTGGGGAGCAACTAGGCCCATTCACCACAACTACCAAGTCTGTTTGTGCTCTGGAGCCTGGGAGTCACAACTACTGAGCCCATGAACCCCAACTACTGAAGCCCGTGCCCCCTAGGGCCCATGCTCCTCAACAAGAGAAGTCACTACAACGACAAGCCTGTGCATGCAACTAGAGAGCAGCCTCCACTTGCAACG